GGCCAGGAAACGCCGGGCGCCAGGGAGTTGGGTGAGCGCGCCCCGGTGGCCTCTCCAGAGTCGGGATGCGCCGGGGTGGATGCTCGATGCTCACGCCCTGGCTTTATTCCCTCATGAGGGTTAAATGTGCAAAGCCCTGCCAGGCCCTGTCTCCATCCGCGCCCTTTTTCTCGCTGCAGTTAGTCCAAGTCCTTGGCACGCGCCACAATACTTCTTGTGTTTTTACTTGTTTTCCTCGTACTGGGGATTGGACCAAAGACCTCCCACGTGACAGACAAGGGCTTTACCGCTGAGGACCATCCCTCTTTTTACCTTATTTTTTTTTAGACAGGATCTCAGCATATATCCCATGCTGTCTGGGAACTCACTGTGTAGACCAGGCTCACTTCAAACTCGCAGAGATCTGTCTGCCTCTCCCTACCTCTCAGTTCCTGGGGTTAAAGTCCTGGCTGTCCTGGAACTCGCTCTGTAGAGCGGGCTGGCCTCCAACTCACAGAGATCCGCCTGCCTCAGCCTCCCCAGTGCTGGGATTAAAGGGGTACGCCAACTCCCCCTCTCCGTCTTTTTACTTTTTTAGACAGGCATTGAACTTGAATTTGAGATCTTGCTGCCTCAGTATCTCCAATAACTAGGATTGCTTGTCTGCCCCACCATTCCCAGCTAAATTCTGTATTCTCTTGCCAATTTGACAGGTCTCTACTTAAAGATACCAAAATGGCAACCGAGTAGCTGTCAGGGATCGCCTGTGCCTTACTCTGGCTTTAAGCCATGCCCTGAAGGACGCGATGTCTGAGGAAGTCATTTTCGATACCTCTGTGCAACAGGTGAAACATAGTGTTTCAAGGGAAATGTTTCTAAAATGTTATGGAATGAGCAAAGGGTACAATTGCTTTTGTGACTTTCAAAAAAAGGGGGCATCAACAGTATATTTTCTTATGTCGTCAGAGCTGTTCAGAAAGATATATAGGAGTCCCTGTAGTTAAGAAGGGGCCTCAATAAGAGAGATGAAATTCTTACCTAGAATTTATTTCTTTTTAAGATGGAACTCTCCTGGTCCCCTAAGAGCACATACATACATACATACATACATACATACATACATCTGCATTTCCTGCTACAATCAGGAGGCAGGGTTTAGTTCTGAGGACGACGAAATACCGGCACCTAACTCCAGGCCAGGGTGTGACAAAAAGAGAAGCTCATTTGGCCACATTGGGATACAGTTTTCTGTGTGGACCCCTGGGCTCTGTTCTGTGACTTTTCCCAGGGAGTCTTATTACTGTTTACCACAAATAAGAGTACTGACAAACCAAAGAAATGGTAATTCCCCCAAATCCAGTGAGTTTATTGGGGTTCCTGACCAGAGCGTAGGTGACCCAGACAGCTAAACCACAGAAGAGCCTTCCTCTTCCAGCACTTGCCAGCCACCTAGAGGATGGGGGCTCCTGAGCCTTCACTCCTTCACAAGTAAATATAACAACCACAGCTGCTCTGAGTCACATCAAACTCAGAGGAAACAGGCACCCAGCAGGCCCTGGTGCGTCTCTGTGAGAGTTCCCGGCTGGCATTCTCTCTGGAGGCACTCATCTGCACATCCTGCCCCATAATGGTTATGTTTGAACCTATATTAAAACTGTTGTTTGGTGAGTCTGTGTCAGATAGAAGGATGGTGTATGCATCTGTGGTTTCCACCGTTATTAGTATTCTCCAGGTAACTTGCCCGCACACTGAAGAGTTACATAAGCACACATCCCAGCCAAACGGCCTTTGCCCAAAGCCAGACTTTCTTTGGGTTCCGGGAAGTTAGAGTTGGATTTCAGTTCATTGTAAACTTGCCAAGAAAGCAGGCCATAGGGATAAGGGGCCTCCCTCAGACAAAGCTTGCCACTCTTGAGAAGCTCAGGTGAGGCTGCAGTGGTCTCTTGTTTGGCTCCTGGAAAGCCAGGCAAGGTTTCCCATTTCACAGGATTAGAGGAGTTGAACCCCCCCTTCCCCAGGACAGCCCAAAGGGGTTCCCAGCAGAGGTGGAGAGGACTTGTCTTTCCTCAGGCAGCATCTCCCATGTGAAGCCAAGAAAGTACCCCACCTAGAAACTCCCCTTTCCTCCTAAAACAGGAAATCTACAGAATTTTAATAGATATTTAATAGTATTTGTGTCATATAGCCTTTGCACTGCTGACATTTTAGCTAGATAATTTATGCCAGCTGCCCTGGCCTCTTCTCACTACATGCAAGAAACAAGGTATGACAAACAAAAGTGTCCCCAGACATTACCAACTAGGGTGAAACTTCCACCAGGACATACCCTTTGGGTATATGACTGCCAGGGGCTGGGGTGAGGCTTCAACCATAACACTTTTCTTCTTTGACCCCAAACATTTCCCTGTATACCAGCCTTCTCAGTCATTTGTAGATTTTGTGTAAATCTGCAGATCACAAGGCCCAGAGGAACTTCCATCGAGGCCTTTTCGCTCTTCGTAAAGATCTTTTACAGGAATTATAGGACAATATTAGAACTAAGTAAAACTCCAAAGATGGAATGTACGAAGATTGTGTTATCTTTTAATGCTAAGGAAAAAATACACTCACTGAGCTCCCCACCCCCTGCACACTGGGGATGCCCTCCCAGACACCAGATTAGACACAAACCACACCCAAACACCTGTTTTCACAGAGAGAGCCT